CCTGTATTCAGGGACCCCGGCCTAATGCCGCGTTTACTTTTCGACTTCAAGGGTGAAGAAGAGGAAGACGAAACCAATGACCGTCTGCGTTTGTTAGAAGTGCCGGCATATCACGTACGGGGTTTTAGGGGCCGGGCCTTCAAGCCAACAACCCCTCACCCACCGAAGTCATCTGTGGACGATGCGATCTGTACTTCATTCATCAGAACTAAAGAGTTCTGATGAACTAAGTTCTCATGAACCTTTGTGGGAAAAGTACTGCGGTGTGAATACGCCTTTTAACTCCCCCATTAAGAGCAAGCGCTCTCACTTTTCCCCCTAAGGCCTAACTGATGATACATTTGCATTACACAGAGCTGGTCACACCCACCCTGAACGGATGAACTGATTAACTGTGGGGATTCCCTGCAAACGACTCAATCTTTTCACCTCCTGTGTTCCTCTGTTTATATGCAGAGCTGTTGAAGTGCATTTAAATTGCAAACGCAGCTAATGTGTTCTACAGGAGGGCCATTGTTGTCACTCCTCATCTCGCAGCCCTGGTTCCTCCTTTGTTGCAGCTCCTGTGTGTGTGTAGCGTCAACAATAAGACACAGACGAATGCTCAGTAAAGTAGCCTGTATACACTGACAATGTAAATAAGGGAAGAGGGAGCAGAGTTCCGCTGGAGATCAACTCCTGCCTGTGCTGATAATGACGCTGGTCATTGTCTGGTTGAAAGTGTTTGTTACGGAGAATCGCTGGAAATGATGAACAGAAAAGAGGGTCACTGATTTAAAACACAATAGACTTCTTTTAAGACCACGCTCTTAGTAATTACCATTAAACTGCGATGGTGTGAGTCTTCCTTTTACATTTGTTTTAATGTGTCAACAGGTTCAAATCAATGATACATTTGTATTGATAAGGGTGCTATATCATCTAAAGCCTCTGTGATACGAGTTAACATAAATTCAGACGTTAGCTCCTTTTCATGTTTCAAATAGTATTATTTTTAGACTAAATAAAAACATATTTCCATTTAATTCATCAACTGAGATTTACCACATCAATAATGGAAGACATTGGCAGAGATTACTTTTAGCTTTTCTCTGTTGACTAAAAGTTGTGTATTTTGGTTTGAGGTCTTCATCTGATTTTGAGATATTCTCCATACTTTACGGACTAATGTTTATTTTAAATCACAAGGTTTTTCTTAATATACATTGCTTTACTCTGGGAGATTCAGGACCAGTGTGGTTTGGAAGTACTGTTAGCTGCTAATGCTACTGTGTTTGCTTACACTAATAATCCCTCCCTCTTGTAGTTTTATCGCCAGGTAACATGGATGCTTCCTAAATCGCAAGCAAGGTTTGTCTGCCATCCAACGTTTTATAGATTGGTCAAAACCTCTATATCTTTAGAGTAGATAAAGCACGTCTGGCTAGCAGGAGAGGTAAAGGAGCTAGAACTCACACAGAAAGCTCCTTCAAAGGTCTATCTTTGAAAGTATTTCAGATTTTGGCCAAATGTGTCTCAGGCTGTTAGACAGGTTATGTGCAAGGAATCGTCTCACCTGGCGCATTAATCAAAGATATATTTGTTTGGATTAGGAATTGAGCCTAAGGCAGTAATATGAATATACCAATATATTGTGTGTGCTTCTGTTTTTGCTTGTTACGGCTGCATCACCAGTTAAAGCTGTAGTTTCCATTATTACCATCTTCCTGCTGCAGACACAGACCCCGTTTACACAATAACAAAACGGGCTGGATCCGCATAGTTTCTCTTGCGTATAGCCCTTTCATATACACGAGGCCGTAACAAAACGATAGAAACGGACCCCACAAACGATAACGGGTCCCAAGGTGGATAGATTTGCAAACGAAACGCTCTGGGGGGTTAAACGGCTCTGTGTAATCGCCCCTATACGATCATTTCCTGATATATGAAGCCATAGCCCCGCCTCTCCCCACCTCTGCTGCTCACTGCAGTAGCACTAGCAGTAGCTACTGTCAGTAGCTACTGCTAGTGCTACTGCTACTGACCATGCTACAGATGTTAGTACAACATCTACAGCTCCTCTACCACAACCATCAGCAACAAGTGGACATGGAGAATTACATGAACTACCACATGTTGCTAAATCCACCGGAGCATAAACAAACGGGCAACCATGGCAACCATGCTCCGGGGTCTTCTTCGCTGCTTTTGGTGTATTTTGTGGCGGAAGTTACAGCGCCACTTACAGTCCCGACATATGTACTACATCGTTTCCAGCGTTCTCGTGTGAACAGACACGTCAAATGAAACAAATACGTGTGAACGGAAGACTTTTTTGAAAACGCATACTGTGCATAAATGCGAACGTTCCCGTGTGAGCAGCACCACAGTATCACACGCTGTGATTGAAGTGAATGAACTACAACTGAGTGCTGATTGATTTTGTGTCAACTCATAAAGTCAGCCTGATAATATTAGTCCAAACCATTTGGCTGTGACATTTGAATCAAGCCGGCTGTAAGTTCACACAAAAAACATGAAATGAGTCCTATCTCAGCAACTTTTTGTCAGACTGTGATCAAAACTGTTCTCCTGGCAGAAGAGACCTCGCTGTACCTGTGTGCAGTGTAGCTTGATGTGCCTGTACCTGGCCCAAAGAACTGCTGCTCGCCTCTATGTAGGCTTTGTGTTATTTTCTATCACTTTGACAGCCGACAAATCTATGGCTCTGTGCTCAGCTTTATGTGGGTTCGCTGCAGAGGGAAGCATTATTTATATACAGCAGATATGCAAATAAGCCTGATCTCCTGTTGCAGCAGGATGTAGACTTAACTTACTGCTGATCAAAATTAAAATATATTTCAGGAGAGGAGCTCCCGAACCAACAAGTCTGCTGAAGATGACACTAAGCCTGAGGAATATGAGTACAACTGAACATATTCATCACCTGCTGTGGTCTTTTCTAAAAATAAGCTAATGTCCCCAATAAAAAGAAATGGGTGCGTTAGTGCAATGTTTGACACTTAGTAGAAATGATATGGCTAATATGTTGGACTCCGCTGTGACATGTTTACATGCGTTAAAGTTCAGAAAGGTCTATTTTTCTCATACTGCCTCTTTTAGACTTTAGGATTTTAGCCTTTGCAGGTCATTGACATGCACAAACATTTCTATTACACACTACAGGAAAGGAAACCCCCCCCCCCAAACTAAATAGAGCCGCTTTAAGATAGTTCATTACACATGTAATCATTGTTGGGGAAATGTCGTAATGGGGCTCTTGCAACTGATAATCACACAGAAGTGGATGCAATTGGCCAGAATGTCACAAAAGGATAGGAAAAAAAAAAAGCGACTGATTTTCAAGCTGTGGATACATGTCTTGAACAACGTTTTAGAAATGCATACATCATGTAACACTAACAAATTCCGAGGCAGACAACATGAAGTTCTTCTTACGCGTTGTTAGACATTAAGCTTGTAGTATCAATCTTGTCATTACACCTCCTACATCGTGTAGCCGCACTATAATTCATATATATGGCAGTCCAGTCCAGTGTGCAAATGATAGCTCAGATAATCAGGCAATATTTTGATATGCTGCTATGAAAATTACACAACATCCTTTTCTATCTCTGACTGGTTAGGTCAACAGTGAGAGTGATTGTGAGAGCACTTCCTGAAACTCACTTCTCATTTCTCATTCCATTTTAACATTGATTCATAAACACGATAACCAATTCATTTAGTAGAAAAGGTCTAAAACCGAACTTTAAAAGTTGGCTTTAGGTGACCTCCAGGAGTGGTCTGAAACTGATCATTTTCTGATAACGATGAAATAGCCCCGCCTCCCTCTCCCCACGTCTCCCTCTCCCCACGGCTCCTGCTCAGAGATCAGCTACTGGGCTCTCAGAAGACGGGAGGAAAAGAGAGGCTCCGTTTATTATTCGCGTCACTGTAGCACTCAATACTTTTAAAGCCTTGGTTAAATATTTCAGTAAAGTTTGTCGAAAAACGAATTAAAGTGGGTCCGAATCCACATTTAAAATAGTTTCAAAACATTGTCATATTGTGTTTTTACGACTGAATAAAAGTCAGATGTAGAAAAAAAAATGTGCAAATGATTTTCCATTTTCTCCCTGATTAACACTTTGTTGCTACTATGTACTGAGGAAATGCATAGAACATGTTTGTTGGACCAATGTTGGACAATGACTCTAAGTGACAAACTTGAATTTAAGAAAACTTTGCCAACAAGTCTTGTAAAATATATAATTTGTGTACATCTGTTTAACCATAAGCATGTTTGTCTGTCTTTCCCCCTTCAGTAACGGAGTGGGGCGACGACGTACGGCCGATCTCTGAAGAAGAAGCCATGGTCATCGTCAACCACCAATCCACAGGAGACGTGTGCACCCTCATGATGTGCCTGCAAGACAAGGGCATGGTGAGAACTGAGAGAAATGTGTTTCATCATCCCTTTAAGGAACTACAGGAATGTAACATTAGGGTCGAACACCGTCACGTTGGCGTAAATAAAAGCCGTGCAGCAACTCGAGCCCGCATGGTGTTGGCACTGTGTGTGTATTCTGCTGTTTCTGTCTGGGCATGTTGATGTGTTTGTAACTGCAGAGGAGGAAATCCTGAGTTCACACATGATCTAAAC